AAACGCCGTATGGATTACCTTCGCAACACGGTATGTACACTTTGTTATTAGTATGCCATTTTTAACTGTCGAGCTGTATCAGTTTGTGGGAGCTACGTGCATGATGCCGGTCCAACCTCTCTTTGCCGAGTGTCACGTCAGTATCGAGTTGCAATCGTAGAAGATCGGTCCCGAAGCGCTTACCGAAACGCAGTCTGAATCCAGCACTTCGATCAAACGCACGCGTCCGCTCCGAGTGTGAACAGGTATTTGCGTGACTTTTGCTGACACTCTCGTAGTTCAAACGTATCGTTTTTAACGTCGGCTCACTCCTGCATTTCCGAGGCCGCGAGAAACGCCGCGGCGGTTTGTTTCCTTCTACGTCGCCTTGCAAACGACTGGCACGGGGCTTTTACCAACGATGACAGTTGTGTTGACTTCGTAGCGATCGAGTTTGTAGCAGTCAACGAAGCGTTTAAATCGTGTTAGCGTCGATATACCACTGCACGGACACGAACCCTAGACAAGCGGTGGTGGAAAGGTCGCCCGTGTTTATGAGAATCAGCTTGAACACTACACATTTCCACACAGACAGGACAGGACATACACAGAGCTGTCCATCAACGAGTGGTTAGCCTGTGTTTGTTATTAAAAATCCACGTGCTCCGAACTATGCCTAGCTCTCTAATTTTGAGAGAGTGCAGGCGAGCTGGTAATGAATCGACATCGTGTAAACCCTGAGATGGGAAACGATAAAAAAAAAAAAACGGACGAACACAACACAGTTTTAAACTTTGTTGTATTCGTCCGTTTTTTTTATCGTTCCCCATCTCAGGGTTTACAAGATGTCTCTAATTGGTTGTTCGTTTTGCCGAAGACGCCGTTGCCATAGCGACAGCACCGGAAGTCATCGTTTCTCCGTAAGAGGTCGTAACTTTCCTCCTCTCACTTAAGAACGCGTTTGTGAATACCTTTCTCGACTCATCTTACGATGATCGTAACTTTACGAACTTCGTAGCTAAGTTGTCGTAGGTAAGAGGTTTTTTATGAATGTGGCCTCTGATCCTTAGGCCAGTTGCAAGGTTCCGTTGAAAGCCACTCAGTCGGCTCTTCGCGCGTCCGGTACTTTCCTCCTCCCGTCTTGCCCTCACCAAAGCCCCCATCGCCGCGCTCGGGCTGCTGGAGATGTCGGCTCGGGTTTCTCCCGGCGCTTACCTCGGAGGACGACAGCTGGGGCGGCAATGGCATTCTGGAGTCCGCAACAGGATATGTGCCTTACGGCTGACTGTAATATATCAACTTCGTTGCTCCTGCGCGAGTCAAAAGGACCGTTGTTCCATTGAAGCGAGCGCGGTGGTGACCAACTAAGATTTATTATGTGTGATTTGCCCAAGACTTTACACGACGAATGTCACTAAATATCATCGTCATTTGTTACTATCTACACAAGAAAGATAATAGTTTGAAACATTAATACTTAACCCTCTCATGCATGAATTATAATCACTATGTCAGGAAAAATTTATACTGTGTTGTGGCATTCGTGTGAACTGCCAATGATGTAAAATAATGTCTAAACAAATTCAACCTTATTTACAATAGCAGAACTGACATGTCCTCATTTGAGGACAACGTGCATTCCAGTGGTCAAGCGATTCAATTTCTGGTATTTGTGGATTGGTCATTTTAATCAAAATAATGAGTATATTCGGGCTAGAACACGTTAGTACTGTTTCATTTCTGGTCCCCAATGCTAAAGAAGCAGCTCACAGCTAAAAAGGCGAAAGTGAACATCTCACGAGGCTTCAAAAATTTTCAAAGCACTAGGGTGTGAGGAACATCGACAGTTCTTACTGCGACAGCGCTGCGACTGCGACAGTTCTTACTGCAACTGCGACAGTTCTTACTGCGACAGCGCTGCGCATTCTTCAAAGTCATTTTTCTGGGGTAATGTGCACCACCGTCAAGCCTCCTTTCAAGTGGCACGTCATGCTTGACCCGTTTTTTTACAGGCTGCGGAGGAGAGGACTTCTGCCGAGATCTTTTCATGCAGCTAAAAACACTGAAGAGTTAATAAGAAAAGATATGAAAGCATAACTCAAAGTTTTTCGCGCGCAAATGCCGGAAAGACCGCGAAGCGGAGGGGGAGCAAAGCAGTGTTCCTGCATGGTGTCCCTATTTGAGGACAGGTACAGCGGGCATCAAAAGGAAAAATTGGGAGAAGCTATCTCAAAACTCTCATTGCTAATACATAAAGTGTGTCTAGAACAATCTGAAAAAAATTTTCCCTGCAATTTTGATACAAAGTTTTGCTAGTAAAAAATAATTACTTTTACGAATTGTTGCATATGGCTTCTCCATGAATGAAGACGAGGTACAATGCCCTCTGTGCGAGATCCTTCAAGTGCTGCCATCTGTCGGCCGTCTAGGAAAGCTTTTTCTGTCCTCATTTGAGGACACCATGCGGGAAGGCAAGGCATGAAAAGATATTCTGTTGAGAAAAAAAACAACTAAAAACGTCTGTCCTCATGTGTGGGCGTGATGCATGAGAAGGTTAAAATGCACAATTGGTGGTCCCCTAGGTACGGTATCGCAGAACAATGCAAGATGGTTCATAACCCGGGTACAAAATCGCAGCTGATACGTTAAGAAAGCGATTTACCAGGTTTTTCCAAAAGTCCCGCAATCACTTTAACTGACGCGGTATGACTAGGGTTTTGTGTTTTCGGATAAATTATAAAAGCTCCAAAAAATGCCCGCAGTTAAACTTTTGGCCAAATTTAATTCATTCGATAAACTCCTAAGTTCAATGTGCAAATCACATAAAAAAATGGCATGGAAGAAATACGGCATTTAGCAATTAAGTTTCATCAGCAGACATAGTCAATTATAGTCCTGGAAAAATGCCATCACTGTTATCTTACAAATGTCTGGCCATTTTCAAAAGGGGTCTTACCGCTGTGCTCGTCAAGGTTCATTCAGTGAACCAGATCATTGCGCTTTCGGATCACGACCAAAGCCACTGATTTAGTTTCCAGCTTGGGCATACTATTTGTGGTTTACAGGAAGAGCTTCTTTGTAACAGCTAAAGCTATGAACATTAGAGATTGCATAAATTGGAAGGAGGGGCTGTTTAAACTTCTTCACTTTTTACCGCTCTACCTTGCGCAGCCGCGTTGTAGGTTGATGGAACGGGCTAGGATCGATACGAGCTTCCACGAGACTACTTCTAGGAGTTTACTGATTTTCAGGTGTCGACGTTTATCGAAGCAACACTAGTCGGCTACTTCTGCCATGTGACAAATTAGTATTGCCAATGGCAAAGGCACCAATGAAAAATCCGTCTGAAGAAATATTGATTGGTATAAGAGCATTTTATTTATTTTTTATCTAGCTTACGTTTACACGTGGATATTTTTTTTTTGTATTTACTTTGATTAGGAAGCATCGCGAAAATAAACTTCGAATTTCGGTGAAATGATAATCAAGCAAAAATAAACTCCGGATTTCCGGCAAAACTAAACTCCGAAGAAAATCCAAATTTGTCCAAACATTAACGCAAAAATGGAATCATAGGTATAACTATACGTACCGTTCTTTAAACCGAGAAAAAGTAATCATATTTATTCAGTGCGGAATGCTCAATTAAAAGCCAAGACAATTGTTCCACATATATTTATGCACCATGTCAGCCCTCGTCGGTTTTTGTGGGTGGAAGATTCACGTTAAACATAATCCAAGAGCACAATTTTAAAGTCAAGTTTCGCGAAATTTAATCTAGGCGTATACTATACTCTCAAGAAGTTCACAATATTTAATCTGAGTTACCCTGAATCTAATCTAAGCTGTCGCCCATTCAAACCCAACGTCACTTGTTTTAATCCATGTGTCAATAAATTTAAAGTTTTGTGTGCTCTTAACACACAATGGTTGCTGCTAAGCTATTAAGATTATGGATACGAGCGAGATTTATGCAATCATTAACGAAGTTCGGCTGTGTATGCCCATTTGACGAATGATTTTCTCATGAGTTTCAATTTAATGCTTACACAATATTGTGAAAAGAACGATACTGATGAAGGTTACATTTTGTTACTTTCCGAAACAATAAAACCATTATATATTTATTCTGAGTATTTCACCTAATTATGGCGGGTTGTGGGGTTCTTAACAGGTTCATTCAACCTTGGTGACTCCAATGAAATTCGAACGCTTTGGCTCATTTGGCGGCAAAAGTTGTGGCTACGCAGCTACGTTACCGACATGTTGGTGGCAGGAAGAGTGCCCTCCCAAATCATGTCGATTCAATTCCAACCAAACAACCATGATAATCAAGTCGGCTCAGCTTTTCCACTATATTCTTCTACAGCTTATTTACAGGGCGTAGCCGACTTTACGAGGTAACGGCATCGATCTATCAGCGGGAAACGCGCAAGTCACTAAGTTTTTTTTTTTTGTTTATCACTGGTTCAGCACTAATATATTAATAACACGAACATGGGTATTACCATTATGGTGCGCTTTTGTCACTGTTCAATCCGTCGCATGTGCTCTTAACGTTGGCTGCATCTGGATTTCATGTGAAACTAATCATAGTAAAAGTCTTTTAGGCTTTAGAGTATTAGAGAATGACGTAATTAAGCTATCGCCTTTTCACAGTGACGGCGTTATTATTTCTGCTTTGCGTGCATATCGCGATTATAAATAGTTTGATACTAATAAGTGTTTGCAAACTCTAATATTTATGTTTATGCCAGATTTTGTATTAAAAACAGGTTCGCCTGGGGTGTTACCCAAAGACTAACGCTAAATGTTCGTGTATTATATCTAAACGAGAAAGTATCATGCAGTTTGTTTTACCATAATATAATGACTTGACGGTTTGACGTATGACGATTTGAGGGTTGACGGTTTGCCGGTAGTAAGGTGACAAGCAATTAAGGATTATTTTTTTTTTATAAAAGTGTTAATAATAAAAGTGTTATGGAAAACAATTTACGAGATACGTGACTGTCTCTTACCATTGTGGCTGGATTTACGGCTCCGAAACTCCTCAGGTAGATTTCGCACTTCACTATCGTTGGTGCATCTGAATAAGACAAGAAAAAACAGAATTCATCAAATCAAGGATTTGTGGCTGCATTTTTTTGACTATGCGGTTAAAAAGCCCGTGTCGCATAAACCTTTGAAGATATTAAGGGCGGAAAAATGCATGTTTACACAAAAAGGTTGTACAATCCTACACCAATACAATGTCGTCTTGTTTCACTCTTTTTTAACATAAATTAAACATATAACCATCTTCGTAGTTACCACACAGAAGAATATCTATCTGGTTCGTCAATTTTAATTTCAATTTATTCTGCGTAATAAACCCACACACAGTTCGATGCCGTAATGGTGTGCACATACTACAACCAATGAAAGAACATAAAGAAACAAACACACGAACAAGCAGGTCGTGGTTTTGGGAAGGTAGAAGTAAATAAACAAAATTACATATAATCCACAGAGCACGGCTGTTTGTCGAACGGCCATCAAGGGTCGTTTAGAAGGTATGAGGGTGAAAATAAGTATTAAATCACTCTCATAGTTATTGGAAATAATCTGTAGGCGTGTCATACGGGTCCAGACCCCAACTTTATGCTGGTAAAAGGTACTGAAGATCTTACACGCCTCTGAGGGGCATACAATGAAATCGCCCTTAAACGCAATGGTGCATCAAGCGTAGTGCTCACTATCGTATACAAAAGTACGAAGTCTCGTGTTAATCTTCTTTCGTGCAAGGGTACAAAATAATGCAGATTAAGTATGGATTCAAATTAACTTATTCATTTATTCATTTATTTTCCTTGCTCATGAACGGCGAGTAGCCTAAGTATGATGAACGCAGTCAAAAGGAGAACACACGAGAAACCTACGGCACCTCCACTAAATAATATATATTATGGAAGAGCAGAAAATGAGTAACAGTTAAAACTCAGCCATTGAACGTCTAAACGCATGAACACTTGAGCAAAAATGTCAATGGTGGTTGCACTGAACGTGTCATAAAAATTTTGAACAAGGTACATGTTACTGGAAAGGTTGATTTTGTTTAATTAAGAAACTGGGATTTACCCTGAGAAGCACTCGCGGTACATATATAAGAATAGGTGATGTAAGGGTTGAACAATTAATGCGACAATGAACGCATTCTTACAAAAAAATATTAGATCGAACTCCAGTCATCTCGAGATCAATGTAGTACAACCGCATCGTCGTAAAAGCCAGTTATACTCTCAATAAACTGCGGCCAGCGTACAAATCATAAATATTAGAAAAGAAACGTCTCTGCACGCTTTTGATTTTTGCCTGGTTTGCACTACCAATACAATTCTAAACAACCGAACTAAATTCAAGCTTGGTGTATACGAATAAAAAAGGAAAACAATTAATACGCAAGCTGACGAAGGAAATTCACGCGTGATTTTCGAAATAACTCCTAACGTCCGAAAGGCAGCATTTGTGATCTAGGAAACGTGTTTTTTGAATGACCCTAGGTTCTCAAGACTGTAACAAAAGACGTATGATTTCCAATTTCTTAGAAAAGAACATAATTACAGTGTTTTTTTAGGTTTTAGTGATTAAAAGATTGTTGCAACACCAATGGCGCAAAGATTTAATACCCTTCAGTAGTATTTTACAGTGATAGATGGGTTACACCTGCCTAGACGTGTTGGTGTCGTCAGCATATTACAAAATATGTGAAAGGCGGACACAAGAACCCGGATCATTTATAAAAACTTTGAATAATACTGGCCCTAGTATGGAACCCTGTGGTGCACCAGAATAAGACACAAGGATTATAATGATGTCCTAATATTCGAACGATTTTTTTTTCTTTCCATCATTTGGCTTGAAAGAAATATTGGAAAACTGGTTATTTACTCCGTATTTCGCCAATTTATGCACGGCAATTGAATGATTCACCAAGTCAAATATCTTCGACAGATCGAAGTATACGGCATCCACCTGCCCACGCTGATCGACAATTTGCAAAACAAAGTGTAAAAAATGACACTAGATTGTTCTCTACAGACCTGCCAGAGAAGAAACCATGTTGAGAAATGCTAATTGCACATTAAAAAGATTCTGACAAAGTTTAAAACAAAACGATTTCAAGAACTCTAAAAAAAAACCACACGGGAAGGATAACAGTCTGTAATTCTTTACGTCAACGGTCTGCCCAACTTTGTAAAGAGGCGCATTCACAAATTTCTTCAAAAGTTCGGGAAAAGCAAAACTTGATAGAGAAAAGTTGAAAATATGCGTTTATACTGTCGTAAAAGGTTAGGAACAACCTTTAACAATTAAGCTTAGAATGCCATAAAAAAACGGCAATACCTTGGGTTTTAGTCTTTTTATTGCAATCTCGTTTTCAGCGTTCTGAAAAGACGCAATCAAGAGGTTATATTATACTTGTTACTATAATCTGCCGTGCATGACGATGCTTGTTTTGAAGAGTAAACAGATTCAAAATAATCAACGAATGCGTTTGACACACATTCAGGTTCATTCAGCATTTTACCAGAGGTGTGACATATGCGTATGGCAGAAGAAAACGTGGTCATGCGATCATTGATACTTGCGGTTGCGGTTTAAGCTGCGTTCAAATGACTATCGATAATATTGCTTGTCCTGCTTGATTAATACGTTAGCTAACGCTAAGGTATTGATAATTTATTGAAATAGATGCTTCTCCAAACCCATCTGTCATAAGCAACACGTACAAAACAAGGCTGTATTATCTCCAAAAATACATAATTGCACCATTCTGATGGCGTTCCATACGACTGAGCGAAACTAGTTTGGAATAAACAAGGACGCGAAATATATCAGGCATACTAGCGTCGGTTGGAAAATTTCTCGTCATTCAAGAAATAATGCTTATCACCTGATAAGAGTAACTTACAATCTTCGAAATATGCTGAGAAACGAGAGCCGGGAAAACAGCACTCCCGGGTCACGAATAGTTTCCAACCCCACGATAGCTGAACCTAACATGGCATGCGGTTAACACGAAGGTTCGGGCGAGCTGGTTGACCATGATGTACTGGGCGAAGAGCGCACCCGCAAAATAGTCACTCAAGTCTATATACTTAAAACAAAGAGACACGCAGCACTGACTAACAAACCTCTTGTATATTTACACCTTTTTTCTTCGTCTTTTTGTATCATGGACTAGGTCTTTAGAGTATAATGTATTTTTCCTTAAAAGGACAGCTTAACCTTAAATTAACTAAAATTGAAATTGATCTAAGGTTAGGTAGTCTAATTCTTTTTATGATAGAATAAAAGACGGAGAACAGACACCTCTATCGTTATATGTTGCTATATTCTCTACCTGAAGGATTTTTCGTGTTAACTGGTTGCGGTGCTTGCCTAGCACGGCGCAGTTACTCAGCAGCATCAAGCAGGCACAGTCTCGACCGTGAATGCATAATTGTCCGGAGCGTTTGTTAGTGAAAGTGTTTTTATGTTCACGAAGGCCATCGTTCAGACACGTTCCGGTGTCACCTATGTGTAGTTTTCCAGAAGCGAGGGGAAAGGAGTACACCACCTTCTCCGTACAAGGAACTAAGGTGCTCTTATGCTGCTTTTCGTAGGCGACAGTTGTAATTAGGTGGTTATTTATTTCTTGCACATGGCTGCAGGGTTTGTTATGAGCTGAAAAGATGACTTCTAAGTTTACTCGGTTAGCTATTTCTTTTGGAGTCCGTTACAAATATTGTGAGTATATGGCGAAATGATAGATTTCTTTGATCTGTCTCTTTTTTGTTGAGTGCAGACGTCTTGACTGATTTTCCTGATGAGCTTTTCGGCCACTAATGTTAATAGGGAGATTGGATATTCTGCGCGTTTTATTCTAGAGACTTGACCGACCACCAAACTCGTTCGGATGGAAAGCGAGCAAGATTTTGTAAGTGAGTTTTTGAGGCATAACCGCGCCATGCTCCTCTTAACTAGTTTTGAATGCGCTGAGCTGAATGGTAATAATGCTTTTTTTCCTGGGCTCGTAGAAACAGCATTAGCAATGTGGTATTATAAATGTCGAAGATCCAGGAATCTTAAAGGGCGTTTGTTTGGAAGTTTTTGAGTGATGTCCAGAGGTCATATGCAGACTTTGATACTGTCGAGGACGTCGGCCACCATGGGGGTAAAGTTGCGATAAGTTGAAGCTAAAACGATTAGATAATCGTCGACATACCGGAGCACTCTATTAACTTTGAAGGTATTTAAAGTTTCCTTTAAATTCCTATTGTGGTGCACTAGATAGGGGTTGCTGATGATAGGGGTAATGAACGATCCTATGCAGACTTCCAAACGAACGCTCTTTAGGATTCCAAAATCTTCGACTCTTTATGTTACCCTAGCATTTATGCTCACCCTATGAGCCCAGGGGGAAACGCAGCTAATGCAATTAAACTTAGTGGATTCAAAAATCATTAAGAGGGTCATAGTGCAGCTACGCCTCAAAAACTCACTCCCAAAGTCCTACTCGCATCCCTATTCTAACCAGCTTTGACGGGTAAGTCTCTCAACTAAAACGTGCAGGATAGACAATCTTATTAACATCACTGTCCGAAAAGCCCATCCACAAAATCAAACAAGACGTCTCCACTCATCAAAAGCAAAGATACAAAAAAAAAACACTTGACCACATATTCATGTGGTCAAAGCTAGTCTTGCCCAATGCTATACATTTTTGCAGAGAACAATATACAATATATATTGTCAAAGTCTTTAGTGCAATTGCAATAAACAGTGCCAAATTGTCCACGGGAAGTCAATTTATGTAATAATGATAATTATTTTTCTTCTTCGTGCCCCAGAAGAAGCTTGCGGTTGTTATTTTGTAGCAAAGTATATAATACTAAAATACAATTCATTGACTTTCACAGACGATAAAAATTGACACAGATCGGCCTCATGGGAAAGTGATAAATAAATCGCGCAAAGCGATTACAGTGGGGAAACGTTCACGCGTTTCCGAAAATTTAAGATGAAAAAATCACTTCATGAAGAATCTTTTTTAACATTATATTT